TCATTAGGGAAATCTGATCTGGCAATACACATGCTGAATCTTTCGTCCCTCAGACATGTGTTACAACAAATTCATTCCACCCTTATAGTTTTGATTCTAACAGCATAGCAGAGACGTGTTGAGTGGCCCACATTATGGGTCAACAGACATAAGGGCGCCCAATTAATCAAACAACAGTAGTTAATGACGAGAATGGTCAGTTGAAGTGTATTTCATTAAATATATATATATATATATATATATAATTGTTAAACCATACATGTAGCTACTTGGAACCACCCTAGTCATTGCTTTTTAAATGCAGTATTCGCTCTATTAGCAGCACATTTGCTTACTGTAAGTATAAAAGACAAAGTGGTCAAAATAATTTCATTGATTTTGCATGCAATAATTACAATATTTGCTTTATGTGTATTGAAGATGTGCTTCTAATATTCCTTAACAGTATTCCTTATTTGTGCTTTATGTCCTCAATACCTTCAGTGCATGGAAGTATTTTCTAAGCTTTCTGTATTTCATCTTTTTCCAATTTGAAAATTGTTACGTTTGCACTAATGGTCGTCAGTGTTAATTTACATGGTATTTGGAACCATCATTTCTGGGTGATTACTGTGGCATAGTACAGGCAAATGTTTTACCAAGTTCGGTTACCAATGTCATACTCATCCGTGATAAATATATTTTGATGCTTATGAATTATGCCTTACGATGTTTAATCCATCTCTAAAATATTTTTTTTTGATGGAATGTTCACAGTTGATGTAACAGTCGATTCAATCTTCATAACCTCATTATCATTAATAGTAAGAAGACACAAGTGCTGACATGTACCCTTTTGAAGTTCATGCTGTTAATAGTTTTCTCCCTGCAATTTCGTTCATACTAATTGACAAATGTCACATGTCTCAGTGCAGTCCTTGACATCTTTATTTATGTGCGGCCAATGAACGCAGTCTTTGGCTCTTTTTAAATGTCAAATAATATATTGCATCATATCATCTCTGATGATCTTTGGTATTCGATTTCGTCTTTTCCATTCTGTATATTTAATTCATCATGGTGACAAACGTAGAAATAACATACCCAACTGTAGATTACAGGGAGACTACTGACCTTAACAAGACAAATACAACTGAGTACACAACATTAGTAAAAGAAAAATATATGGAACCAAAGTTTACATAAATTGATATTCGGTGATTCAAAATAGTGAGCACATCCTGTTCCAAACGTGGCATGATGCCATCTGAGTTATTCATTAACATGTAGCTTTGCTTTGCACTTTGTTCTGTATTACAGTTTTATTATTTTTTTTTACCATTATTTGGATTCACTATTTTAACTTTGGCGTGTGTCTTTTAAATTTTACTGATTTGCGGTAGAACTTGCTTTAGAAAAACGTTTGCAGTCACTCATAGACTTCACTTCCAGACTGTTCGCCATTTTCAGTTATACTGTAGATTTGTCTAGGTTTCTGTTTTTATTTATTTGTGTGTGCGCACTGTGATGCAAGTATTCATTTTATTATATGGGCATTGCTTGCCATATGCAGAACATTTTTGCCTCCCTCCCTCCTTTCCTTGCTGACGTCTTATTTGAACTGGTAGTATCAATCTATTTTCCCAATAGTTTCCTATGACAAATAGAAATTCAACATATTCGAAGGCATTTCTCTTGGTTTCGATCCACATCTCTCTACACCCCATGCTTCAGTCACTGATATCACAAATTAGTCTATTCATTTTCACCAATAAATATATTCAAATCAACGGTTTCAGTCTTTAATTTGGATTACAGTTTAATCAAATTATTTTAATATGTCTTCTAGCTTCTGCTAAATATCATTCTTTCGAATCTTTCTTCCCCATCTTTACTAATGAGATGAAGATTGGTATAGCTTGAATACTTTGTTTTGAATGTATTTTATTACTAGGTGTACCATAAAACACAATTGCACTGATTTCATTTACATTTCATTTAATTTAAGTGTTCGGAGAAGCCATGGTATTCTTAGATGAACTCAGTCACTGAATGCCACACTGAGCATGGCATTTGGACAGTATGTGTTATCATTGCTGAGTGTGGCTGGTGACCACAGAATTTAAACCGGCAATTTGGCAATGCTTGGCTGGCAAGTTAACTATTAAGCCACACTTCATAATGTAACTGGAACTGGTCTTCATGTAGATTATGATTTCAAACACCTTGCAATAGTCTTAGAAGTAGCAGTATACTCAAACTATATGGACATGTATAAATGGTCGTCTGCTTTTCAAACAGTATCACATTGTGAATATGCAACTTCAAATCAGAATTTCCGCAATTAAGAGTTAGTATCATGTACCAATTAAAGTAGTTGTCTCCTAGTTACTTATCTTCTTCTTGATTTGGTTATAACTACCCAGGCATTATATATATCTGGCACACTTGGTAAAACAAAGAGTTTCCCATGATGCAGCAAAGGTCAGATTATTGCAGTTATTTGAGGAAATATGGTGTTTGACCATGATAGCAGTGATGATGGAAATGTTTCCTGTTGTGGTACCAGTGATGGTGCTAACATAAACGGCATTGTAATGTGAATTGTACAGCCGCAGTGTAAAGTTTTACTAACAAAAATTATATTTCTGGACAACGTTTAGTGTGGTTGTATTAAATTGGTTGTGTTTTTAAAATTAGTAATAGCTAAGGGGATTTTAGAACACGTCAACTATTTCCGCCAAGTCAATGGTGACGTATACAGAGGAAACCCTTCAAACGTTTTCAAACCCAGAAACTGCTAGTCTGGTCTGGTCCCCTGACCCTATTTTCTTAACCACCCTCAGCGTTGAAATTGGAGCAGGGGACCAGACTAAGAAACTGCTTAATATTTGCCTGATTTGATTGTGGTTGTGGTTTAAATGTGTCGACGATACAATTTTTATTCAGTTTGTGTTTTTACAAAGTTAAACTGTGTATCACTGCCTAAAATTCAGATATCATTTGGCTTTGACGTCATCGCGGGTCTAAGGAGTGTCCTTCCTTTTCGTACTTAGTGCTCGCACAGGGGGAAACGCCGTCAGTTGACAAGCCCCATTATCATGACATTTATTTGGTTGGGCGGAAACCATGGAAACCATTAAACCAGATGAAAACTCTACTTAAGGACGAATTATGGATACACCTTAATCGTTCACTTGAGAAGTTGTGATACGAAAACTACGAAAAAGCCGGGGAGTAATAGATTGGTCGAGGCTAACCTTCGACCACAGCGGATTTGACAACGGGGCGCCCTCTGTGTCAGACATACCGGCTCTAAAATCAATCGTTTTTACGATTTCTGTATTTCCGTATCATGAACACAAATATTAGCGTATTTTTAAATTTAAAATTCTTAAAACTTCTTCATATCACATTCGGTTGTTGTTCTGTGCTATTTTTTCGACGATGAACTTGCTGCCCTCGGTGAAGAATTTAAGAGAACATATACTGATTCATACTCGTATGACATGACGATGAGGGAAGTGTAGCTAGGTAAGGCCGGATGCTGCAGTAATGAATGAAATAAATGCAGAACGATATCTGCTACGCATATTTAAGTGCTGCACCAACCGGTTTCTTTTTACAATGCTACATTGACGTGAAAAATACGGTTCTTTGAATATTTTTTTTCGCCGTTCATGTGCACGATGACACATAATAAATACCGTAACAGCAAATAGATATGATTTCAATTAATTATTATTATCACACCATATGCGTACCGTCGACCATGTTTTGGTCAACCAACAGATCGACGAATGAGGGCGTGATTTCAGCACGAGCCGATTGGGTCCTGATGTGAGTCCCAACTAAAGTGAAAGCAACTGCTGTAATCCCTTTTCAAAAATGAACGATTAACAATTTCAACACGTGAAAGTAGTAAGGGAAAATAAAGTTTATATTTATGATGCTATTTGTCTCCGGTGCAAAACAAATGACGTTGAAAATAATTATCGTTGTGCATTATTTTGCCAGTTTGTTTTGAATATTTGAGAATAAGGTTTATTCAGATTGGGTAATAGTATCTAGATTCCAGGCCTTCTGTCTAACTATTTTCATCATCAAATGTTAACCCGGAGGTTAACATCATTGAAAAACTTGTTGCATTTATCTTTCAAGGTTTTGCACTACGTAACTGTGATTTTTTGTTGTTGTAATATTTTTGGCTTATGACCTTGGAATGTTTTGAGTAAAGACGATATATATAAACAAAATACATCGATGTTCAAATAAAAGTGTGCCTCGACCAATCAAATCTCTGCTCTCTTCGAACGGCTTCTATAATCCGTGGCAGCGACATTATTCATTCATCCTGTGATTAATGGTGTAATTCACTGAAGAAATATTGTACACTGACATAAGATTCGTGTGATTGTATACACGATGTTTTTTTCCTCTTCTGGTCTAAAGTCATTCAAGTGATGAAATTAAAAAGAGCTGGAGATAGTAGGTTACTTTGTCTAACTCTTCTATTTAGATAAACATATCCAGCGCAGTCGTCTCTGTTCATCACACAACTAGATAGTTTTTTTTTTGTGTGTGTAAAATATTCACTTTTAGATGGATGAACCAAAACTTGGCAGAAATGACCATATCTTGCACGTGTTTTATGTGCCAACGTTTTTAAGTGTTCCCTGCAAAACACAAGGGGTTGGATAGGAAAGCACCATTCTGATTTTGTACGATCATGTATGCACGAAAAAAGCAAATAAAACATCTGTGCAAAAATATTGAAATCATGTTTAACCCTCAAAATCTTATCTGTTTACAGAGACCTGCCACAAAATACAGCTGATATATTTATCAATACATCACGTCGGAAACACGCGATACTATCGGTATAACAAATACCAACAGGCATTTTGAAATTGAAGTCCAATTACCCATAGTATTCTTTTCTCAACGATTACACGCCACTGACGGCAGGCGAGTATATTTTACAGTCTTTTGTTTTTATGATTCGACTTCCGGCTAAAACAAGATGGCTGCGCACAAGAATAACGTGTGGATCGGGGCTGAAACAGGAATTTTGAAAGGTATTGTTCGATCTATTTGCTATGTTCTTATATACAGTAGTCGCTTTCATCGACCTTCAACTGGAAGGGTCTTCCATTGACACCGAGTACTGTTCTATCACACAAATAATAATAACAACACCTTCGTAGACCGATCATCGTGTCTCAATGTCATTGTCAATACAACTGTACACGATCGTGTCTGTTCAATATGAAATACGTGAACCGGTCGATTCTCAACGTTCTCAAAGTAACCTGCACGTCGTCAGTGAACACAATCTCTGAGTAACACTTAGTCGATCATGTGTACAAATGTAGGTGTTGCTAGTGAATTGCGAGTTTTCTAATCCGCATCTGAAACATTAGCATGATTCTCATAATTTATTTCACTGGTCGATCTCATGTTTAGTAGACTGGCATTGAAACATACTGTAGAGCTTAGGGCAAGTCTCACAAGTATTGGGGTAGCAATTCAACAAACTTTCTCACTAATTCTCCGACAACTTTTGTTTTGACCATGCAGATTTGGTCCACTCAAAACAATTTTTCCTACTATTCAGTCATGTAGAACCCAATAAACTTATTAAAAGATTTTTTGTTAACAAATTTAATACTACATGCAAATGTTACAGAATGAAAGGTAATTATTGAAATAGTAGATTTATTTGACAATCAGCATTTACAGTCACCAATGATTTTGTTGACAAAACATTACCTTTCCCAGAGTGCAAACAACCGCAAAAGTTTACCAGTGTTCAGTCGAACCGGTGGACAGAAAACATTATTCCTGGAGTATTCACGCAAGATACCCACCTAAAATGGAACCCTTTAAGCCACAATATAATTATAAAAATCATGGATCAATGGTCATTGAATTTACCAGTAGTAAACTTTGTGATCATTTTTATTGATGACATCGGTAGAAGGCATCATTTTAGTTGATTGGTGATCTTGGTGAATGGTGGTGTTGGTGACTTGTTTCTGAATGATGATGTCACAAAGTGGACTGTGGAAGGGGATATAGGATTGGTTGACTGAACCAATCAGAGGGGATCTTGTTGAAATCTTGTTATATTGTCTGTTTAGATATATGTAGCGATAATTAAAATAAGACAAAATAAGATGATCTATGTCATATAACTAAAACAAATACAAAATAACAACAAAATTAAACGATTACAAAATAATAAAAAAATAAAAAAAAAAATAAAAATATATTCTGTACAATACATTTTTAATCAGATTGGTGTAACTGCAATGATTATTTAAAAACTGTAATTGAAACTTCACTTCTGTATTGCATTTTGCAATCCTATTTGGCCCTGGAAAAAGATGTGGAACAACCACACTAATACCATATTCAAGACATGTTAGCAGTTACACATGTAGATGTGACACCCCACTTCATTGTCAAGCTGAACAGGACTACAGTCATTCCAGCAATGAAAATAAACAGATTGCTGTTATAAACTAAAACTAAAAATCATTTCTAGAAATCCTAATTAGTGAATCTGTGAAAAAAAGATTGTCTTTAGTTATTGTAAAGTGTGTAATATGTGAGCTTTTGTTTTGGAATGCAACAAAAATCTTGCTCTTTTCTGCTTATGCAATGAAACATTTCTGTTCTGTGACTCTATTGGTTAGAAGGAAAGACTTTGTTTTATATCCCTCACTAAACACCTTCTTAAGTCCCCCTAATTTTATTATATATGTTTCTCTTGAGCAAACATATAGTTAATTTTTTGGTTAGAACTATGTTTGATTGACATGCACAAAATGGGATCACTTTTAAATAATCAAAGATTGTTAGAGTTCTCTTCATCACATACACATGTATCAACCTCCATGTTTATTAAAATTTATTGAAATTGAAGTCCAATTACCCATAGTATTCTTTGATGAAATTTGTATTGTGGCAGGCATAGCAAACATTTTTTCTCAACGATTACACGCCCCTGACGGTAGGCGAGTATATTTTACAGTTCTTAAATGATTTTCATCACATACACATGTATCAACCTCCATGTTTATTAAAGCTAAATATCCTTATCTTATAAATCCTTGATTGAATTTTCAACTAGGCGTAAATCTAGATGAGAAGACTGCCTCCAATTATTCAAACGTGGCATCACTGAGTAAAGATGAAGAAATCACAGCAATATGTTGGGCCAATGAACAACAAACACAGGTAAAGTCTATAGTCTACTGATTGTAATTTTTTTAATTTTACTGACATGCTTGATTACTAAAAACCATGTACTTTGGGTCTAAATATTATTACAAGATTACATCCCAGAATTTCAGGATTCGTGTTACATGTCGACAATGATTTAATTCTCTTTTAATAATTGTATAATATGCATAATATGATTCTTTTATTATTATAGGTTTGCATTGGTCAGAGGAATCATATAGTGAAAACTTTTGATGTTGAACTTGGTGACTATATAAGGGAAAATGACTGTACAGGAGGAGAAGGAACATTCCAAGGAATTGCTAATGTTGATAACCATCTCATTACATGTACACAGTCGGGATTATTAAAAATATGGAAAGAAGAACCAGAGGAATGTGTGAGTAGAGAAAACTCTTACTATTATAGTAAATAATGATTGTTGTTGACCTGAAAAACAGGCTTGAAGTGCAACCGAAATTTATATTAAATAGTACATGCATGTTGCAAATGAATTTGACTGATGATTTTGTCATTTCTGAATTAGATCTATTGTATAAACAGAAAACAAATAAACCGTTTTAATTTTTTTGCTATAAGGCCAGACTTTTATCATCCCTTGTTTCTCGAACCTGCCGAATGAACAGGAACCCAAAATGAAATAAAAATAAAATTTTATTTCAGCGTAATTTCTCACTTGTAAGTGCAAAAAATAAACCCAAGTTGCATTTTCGTATTTTCGTGAGAGTATCATGATCAAAGAACCGAAGTCTCGCGCAGATAAGAAACAAGGTTATACATGGAATAAAATTGTATTTCATTTCTTCTCTCCGATCAATAATCTCACTTACAATTCTTTGAAAATCACACAAATCTAATGGAAAAAAAGAATTTTATTTTTTTTCCGCCCTCCTCAAAAAAATTGCCTTATAAAAACTCGAGAAACAAGGAATAAAAAAAGTCTGGCCTAAACAACATTTTTTTTAGTCTTTCATTACCAGTGAAAGTTTAGAAATGGATCAATTCACCAACCATGATTCTATTTTTTTTTTTATTTTAGACTGAAATTGATGTTGGTAAGGACATTAGCAGGATGAGAATCAATCCAGAAAATAAAAATCTTGTTTCTACAGGTGGAAAAGAAAATGACCTGAAAATATGGGATTTGGAAAATTCTAAAGTTCCAGTTTTCAAAGCTAAAAATGTAAGTTTGAGTTTTTAAAATGTCTTTTATTTCAGTGACTTGGATTGATTGTTTGAAAGGCTATCTTATTAAATATTTTATTTTTTTGGTAGGTTCGGAATGATTTTCTTGATCTTCGAGTACCTGTCTGGGTGTGTGATATGCAGTTTATTCCGGGTAGCTCTAAAATTGTGTCTTGTTCACGACATCACTGTGTAAGTATGTTTCTAGCACTTTCACATGTATCTTACTTTCCTCAAACAGATCTAGTAGCTGATCTGCACAAAATACAAACGCCTTCAAATAATGTTATGAATTTCATTTGCAGATTTGTTAAGTTAAATATTTTTTTTGGTATTAATTGTACATTAGGTGAGAGTATATGATCCAAGCACACCACAAAGAAGACCAGTTTTAAATATAGAATTTGATGAGTACCCTGTGATGGCTTTGTCATTAATTCCGAACACAAAGTAAGTTATTTATTTAGAATTATTCACATTCCAATTGCTTGGTAATTCATCCATTCAGGCAATAGTTGTTAGCCATGCAATATACAATTAATACAGAATGGAAGTATTTGTGCTAGAACTGCTTTGTACATCATATTTTGTTTGACATTTTAAGATTTGTAGATTTTTCTGTCTTGTTTCTATCCGTTTCAATGGTCACAGTGGTAATACATTTCATTGGGTGTATTACCATAACAATTATTCTAAATCAGTTTGAGAGTATTTTTTTTATTTGGGCTGTTCAATAATAGCATACATTTCTGACATAAAAATGAAAATCATCATATACCGGATTCTGCCGTAAATTCACCCATCCATTATTTGGGGTTCAAATTTTCAAAAAATTGTCATCAAATATTGTTAGGGGGCTACATTTTCATTGAAAAATCCACCTACGCCGATTTTTAACACCGGCAGTTGGACCACCCAAAACAAAAGAAACTATTGCAGAAGCTAATCTAAAATTGTATACACTTTTTCTAGCTGGATTAAAAAGTAGAGTGCGCATCTTTCTCCAAAAAAATCACCATAACGAACCTCGAGCGCCAAATACAATTATTTTGTTTCATTTTATTAGCAACGAAAGTATTTTATAAATAAAAGAAGTTTCAAATAACAACGAGCACAACTGCATTGCTTAGTAGCAAATGTTCGTGGTAGCACAATCTGGTCATGCTGCGTTTTACAATTGTTGATTATTACCTAGTAATGATTATAATAATGTGCAAAAAATAAATTCGTTGAATTGTTATAAAATGCAAATATTTCATATATTTCAACTTATTTCATCGTAAGCGAATGATTCTGATCGTATTTTCAACGCTTGATGCTGTAGAAATGAATATCCGCCATGTTTGACCTGAGATGGTGTTCTTTGACTTGACAGTTCAAATAGATAATTAACCAATGAAAACGATAGATAATACCAACGTATTCAAATTACCATAGCACATTTAAATATGTTAATTTATTGAATTCAGCACGAAAAAGATTTGACGATGTTGTTGTGCGATCTTTTGGCTTGGATTTTGATGGGAAAGCGGCATAATTTGTTTTTAAATAAACAAATTATTTGTTTTCAAAAGATAAACTGAGCATTTGCTGAGTAATTTTACATTATTTACAGCGATAACAGCTCATTGTCGAAATGAAGCTAACCCATTCACGCTAGTTGCAATAACATCAATACTCTTGAATAGGCGTCAATGACTATGGTGAAACTTTCAGGCATCCGAAAAGATTAAAATAACACCTTAAAAAACTGCCGAAAAATCGCCCTGGGCGGTTTCTTGGTCCCATTTTATTTTTTTAAAAACCCAAACTGCCGTTTAATGGCCCTGGGCGAATTTACGGCAGAATCCGGTACATACATTTCATTATTTATTCTATGATGTAGGGAATCAGGGTGAGTGCATTGTGTAACTTATTAACTTATGGGGCTTTGTAAACTACTTATTGTATATACCCCAGTAAGTAAGCAAGTAAGTAAGTAAGTAATTACTTATTGTATATATGTACTTACATGTACTTGTAATCTATTTCAGTTATGTGATTGTTGGTAATAGTCAAGGCAGGATGGGTAAGATTGATTTACGTAAAGGTCTTGTGCATAAAATATTCAAAGGTTTTGCTGGTAGCATACGTGATATTGAATGTCATCAGACTGAACCATTGGTTGCATCATGTGGATTAGACAGACATCTCAGAATTCATAATGTTCACACAAGTGTGTTAGAACACAAGGTAAGTTGTATAAAACTTTTCATCATCTTCCCATACACTAGATAAATAAATGAAATAAAGCATCTGAAAATGTGGTTTGTGGTGCTAAGCAAATTTGACCGCTGTCAATCTGGTGTGTAGTTTTGAGCACATATTCGTAAAATACTCATACCATGTGAAAACTTTAGTCTGACAGTTTGACACAAAGCTCTTAATGGTGTAATGGATGTGAAAACAATAAAAATATTTGCAAAACCTTTAAAAGTTTACAGTCCAGTTTATATTTCATACCAAAGTATATATAAATAATCAAGACTGTTGGTAGAATCAAATAGAGTGAAGTTTTTTTGTGTTTACGTGTCTAGCTGGTGAGTTTTGAGTGATGTTTTGTTGCTTTCACAATCCCGTAGCACTACAAAAAACACAAGACAGAATTCTTGAATTGAATTTGTTTTACATAAAGTATGGTAGCCAATTTTTAGATATATTTGCTTTCACTGTTCATGTTCATAAATATGTCACTAAATGAGCATTTCCGGAGTTCCATAAAACATATTATTCAAAATTTGAGATTATCTTTTAAAAAAGAAATTTGGCAACTAATGTTGGTCAGCTATTTTTTAGATAAACAGTTTGAAAACAATATGATCCACTGTTTGCAAGTTTAAAACTGTGCATCTCAAACAGTAGAGCTGCATGTAAACCAATTCATCATTTCTCACCTTATGATCAATTAATTATCAATCACTAAGTTAAATTCTAGCTTAGCAACTGATCAAAGACTTAGCACAGATGGATCTGAAAGTAACAGAAATTGAACACAAATGGACTATGTTGTGCAATAACTTGTTGTTTTCTTGAAATAGGTTTACCTTAAATCCAGACTTAATTGTTTGCTGTTTTCAAGCAAAGATCTTTGTCGGGTAGGTATTATAATTACTAGTAGTACATTGCATGCTGAAGGTCTTCACAGGGAAACTTTAAATGTATTTTGGAGTGACTATTGTTATTAGCTCATATTTCATGTTTGTCATTGACATTGTACTAGAATTAAGACTTTGAGAAGCTCTAATTCAATTGTTGTACTCCACAGTTGATGCAGGGCTAATGGAATGAATGTTCAGTGTCAACATTTCTTTACTTCTGATATTGACATCATCACATGTATTTCTCTCAGAATGTTCATATGGCATGGATATCTACATTTTTATATATTTGATATTGACATCATCACATGTATTTCTCTCAGAATTTTCATATGGCATGGATATCTACATTTTTATATATTTGATATTGACATCATCACATGTATTTCTCTCAGAATGTTCATATGGCATGGATATCTACATTTTTATATATTTGATATTGACATCATCACATGTACTGCTTTCACAGATTTGTTTATATGGCGTTATTTACATTTCTATAATTTTAAAATTGTCTTCACATGTACTGCTCATGGATTTGTTCATGTGTCATTGTTATCTGCATTTCTATATTTTTGTTCTTGACATCACCACATGTACTGCTCACATATTTGTTTATATGATGTTAGCTACGTTTCTATACGTTTGATATTTTCATCACATGTACTGCTCTCACAGATTTATTCATATGAAATGATATCTGCAGTTCTGTACTTTTGATGAATTATGTTATTTTCCATGTTAACAAGATTGAAATCAAACAATATTGCTCTAACTGATATTATTTGCATATTGATTTGTAGATGGAAGAAACAGAAGACACAAATAAAAAAAGAAAAGCAGAATCAGGAGATAATTCATGTAGTGAAGATGACGATATATGGAATAAGATGGATGTAATCAGTGATAAAACACAGATCAAAGACAAAGATAAAAGGAAAAGAGTTTCTTGAGATTTCTATTTATACAATAACCATTCAAAGCTCAATTAAATCAATAAACCATGAATTTGTGTATTGTCT